CCCCCCACCCCACCCCCACACACACGGTAGACAGTTAATAGAAGGCTAGCTAAAGGAAAACATCTATGATAAAGCAGTTTTGACAAAATGACAATAAGAGGTTTGGTGTTAGTGTATGTATTGTGTTTGGAGATTTTCATAATGAAAATCTGGAGAGATTACTATCATTAACAGTTTAAGTGCTACATTAAGTGAAATCAGAAAAGCCTGGGTTCAACTCCTGACAAAACTATTTCCTCCTTGTCCAATCCAGAATAAGACTGAAACTTGCCAAGTCCCAGTATTTGAACTCATGGAAAGAAGTTGATAAATAACATCTCTGTCCCAGAGCTCTTCTGAGGATGAAATGAGACATCCCAGGCAGAAGGTTTGGAAGGTTCATTGCGACCTGAAATAACAACAATAACAAAATAATAATAATAATAATTTCCCATTAAAAACTCACAAATTCTACATTTATAAAACTAGTATTTCTCTGTGTATGACAATTATGTGTGTATACAAGCATGTTTCCCTGTATGTAAGCATGTGGAGGTCGGAGATTGAGGTCAGGTATCTTCCCCTGTTTCTCTTCTCCTTTTTTGAGACACCTTATTTCTCTCACTGAACCTGGAGCTCACTGTTTCAGATAGTCTGACTAGCCAGCAAAGCCCCAGTATCCACCTGTCTCCCCACCTTCCCCACAGTGCTGGCATTATAGAACCCAACTTTTATATGAGTGCAAAGGATTCAAACCCAGGTCCTCATGTTTGCACAGCAAACACTTTACCTACTGAGTCCCCACCCCCCAAAACTAATATTTCTAATATTCAATAGCATAATAGGATAATGTTTGGCAGTTGAATATTTAAAAATAACTAGTAGAAAGGATTTTTGACTGTTCCCAATACAAATGAATGGTAAATATCTAATGTGATAAATATTCCAGTTATCCTGATACAGCTACCTTATATGCATATATTACAATGTTCCAGCATCCCATAAATGTGCATAATTTCTGTGTCTCAACCAAAAATAAAATAGATTTTGGGAGCTACAGATATAATTCAGGGGTAAAGCATGTGTTTAGAATATACAAGGCCATGAATTGAATCTCCAGCACCAAAATAATTAAGTTTTGGGACATTTGGGGGGGGGTGATTTATTTGTTTGTTTTGTGGGGTTTTGTTTGTTTTTGTTTTTGTTTTTTATGTTTGAGACAGGATTTTCCTGTAGCACCAGCTGGCCTGGAACTCATTATGTAGATCAGGCTGGCCTCAATCTCACAGAGATCCACTTTCCTCTACCTTCTGAGTGCTAGAATTAAAGGCATGTGTCATCATGCCCTGCACTGATTTAGTTTTGCTCTGTGTTTTTTGTTTTTGTTTTTAATTTCAGGGTGGGCACAGCAGAGATGGCTCAGCAGTTAAGAGCATATGTTGTTCTGTAAAGAACCAGAGTTCAGCTCCCAGCACCGTATCCAGAAGTTCACAGCTGCCTGTAATATGTAGACCAGGCTGGCCTTGAACTCACAAAGATTCGCCTGCCTCTGCCTCCCAAGTGCTGGGATTAAAAGCATGTGCCACCACACCCAGCCTGAAATGTATTTTAAAAGGGCTAGGAGGATGGCTCAGTGGTTAAAAGCACTTGCTGTATAAGCCTGACAATTAAGTAAAAAGCCACATTGTAGTTGTGTGCATCTGTAATCCCAAGACTTCTACAGCAAGGTGTAAAGTGGAAAGAAGAGAACTGCCCCAAAACTCTTGGGCTAGTTTGCCTGGAATATGCAGCACAGCAGCAGAAACAAGAGAAACCCTGCCTCAAGCAAAGTGGGAGGAGGAAACCAGTCTGGAAAGTTATCCTCTGACCTCCACTTGTGTGCCATCACTCCCACACCCACCCCCCCCACCCCACCCCCACACACACGGTAGACAGTTAATAGAAGGCTAGCTAAAGGAAAACAT